AAAGAAAAAAATAAAAAAGCAGCCAGACAATACGCAAAAGAGTGGACAAATCGTCCCCATACTTTTTGCTTTGGATTTTGCTATGTTTGACTATTCCTCCTGTAGAGGGACACGCCCGACTTAATTGAGGAAACGAACACTGACATAAACATAACAACTCTGAGGTCCGCGCGGATTTCTCGGATCGGCGATGGGGCCCCCTGGCGGCGCCTCCGGCGCCGCCCCTGGCGCGATCCGCGCGCCAAGGAGGGAAGTCCAGCGCCGATTCGAGAAATCCGCACGGACCTCCGAGTTGTTCTGTTTATGTCACTGTTTGTTGCCCTATTAATGGTAGCGCCATGGCTGCAACTCGGGCCTCCAGTGGCCGCTCGGGACACGTCGGGCAGCCCCCGAGAAAAAGCGCCCTCGTCGGGGCGCGCTTCTGCCGGACGGCACCCCTCCCCGAGGCCCGAGGCTCGAAAAAGCCGCCGAGAGGGCCGACGGAAACCGGCAAGACAATCTCCAACCTTTGAAGGGGCCCTGGGGCACACAAATAAATGCACACAAATAGAAAGGTTCCCCATATCTTCCCATATTTTCTGGGTCTTTGTCTTCACGCCCAAAGTCTCATATTTTCCTATATTTTCGCGGGGATCGACGATGAATTGTGCCTGTGTTCTGATCCCTCCTGAACCTTGTGAGCGTTTTTTTTATTCGGCAGTTCGGCATTTGGCGGAAAGGGGGGGGGATCTGGCCCTGGACCTCTGCTCAGTGCGGTGGTTTGCCCGAGTGCTGCAGCTGTTCGGAACCGTGCGTCCTGCGAGGGGAGCCCCGACCTGCTCGAGACATTCGCCCAAAACAGCCAAGATCCACTCCAGGGGGGGAGGGGGGGGGGTTTGGGGCCCGCGCCGATCGGCAAAACGATGAATCGAAAAGACGATCACCCTCTACCCGTGCGCGCAGTGTGTTCGAGGTCCGAGCGGGTTCTTCGGTCGACGCCGGCCCCCCCCTCCCAAAAGAGTGAGCAGGCACCCACAGCGCAGAGGGGTCCAGCGCAGATCCAAAGAGATCCGCGCGCACCTTCCAAACATAATGTGTGCAGCTTTGTGGAGCAATTCCTTGTGTCAGGCTCGAATTGGGTGAGAGTGTCTGGAGTTGCATATCGGTGCTGTTGACGTGGAAGTGCTCGAGCTCCACATAGAGCCAGATCGCCGATGCATTGCCAACGTCGCCGATGCATCGGCGCCTCCGACCCCATTTCGGATTGCAAGAATGATGGCCGAAAACGAAACATCAAAACAAAAACACGAAACTTCCAACCACAATTTCGTGGTTAGTGGGGCGGGGGTCCTGCATGGACTGAGAGCGAAACAGGCCAACCGCAATGCAGATTACAAAATTGTGGTTATGCCTCCTTGGGCAATATGTACGGCGGATATCCCACCCGGCCCAAACCCGATCAAACTCCATCCCTGGAGCCCTCCTGGGGTTCATCTTGACCCGTGTCTCGTAGCAGATCCAGACGTTGCGAAGAGAAGACTCCAGGAGGCCCCAAAAGAACAAACACACCAGGAAAGGCCTCCGCTGTCTCGATGAATCCGCCTCGGAAGCAAGAAGCAATCACCATTGCACTATCCACAAAAACATTTAGTCCAACCAATCTAGGGGACCTGGAACTCTAGCGCGGGCCTGGATCACGCGCACCCGAATGGGCATTTGGCGGACGTTCGGGACGATTCGGCGAGGCGTAACTGCTGGAGAGCATCCCGATTCTTCACAAAAAGGGAACCAGCGCAGACGCCAGCAAATCCCGAACATCGATCCCCAACGCATAAATGTTCGAAGGTCCACGCGGAGTTCGTGTGTCGGCGCTGAACACCCCTCTACGGCGCGGTGACCGCGCCAGGGGCGTCGCCAAAGCTGCCGTCGGGGGTCCAGCGCAGATCCATGAACTCCGCGCGCACCTTCGACAATTCATGTTTTCTCTTGCTTGACTGAGATCGGGCAAGGATATCTAGGGTTGTGAAGGATCGCGCCGCACCGCCGATGCATCGGCGTTGTTGACGTGGAAATAATTGCTCGAGCCCACCATCGAGCCACATTGCCGATGCATCGCACACAGCGCCAAGACACCGTCGCCCCGGGCCAATGTTGTGGAGGTTCGCCAGCGTGCAACAACTATAATCTGAAACATGCAGCATGCATCCAACACTTCCAGCCACCTCTTCGTGGTCAGCGCTAGGTCGGGCCTGTCCCCATACAGCCGGATTTGGGCGAAAAAATTAAAGATACCCCAAAAATACCCCCAAGTGTAGGGAGCCCACAAAGGACGTACGCGCCCAGCTATGTACATGAACACGGCCCCTCGATTCGCGAAACCGGCCGCGTGATGAGAACATTTGTGCAATGTGTGCTCTCGAAACCAGCGTGGATTCATGTACATGTACGTCCTTCTTTCGCTCCTGAAAGTGCTCGAAAATGGTCATTTGACTATTTTTGACTTTTCCCCCTGTAGAGGGACAGACCCGACTTGAGGTTCGCGGGGCGAGCGTCCTGCGCGGGCCGCCTGCAGAGCCGTCCAGACACCATGCGAAGTACGACGCGGTGCCCACGCCTTTTCTCAAGGGGCCCCAGGACACACGAATAAGCACACACAAATGAACAGATCCCCCATATTTCCCCATGTTTTCGGGGTTTCTGTCTTCCCCCCCCCCTTCCCATATCTTCCCCATGTTCTGGGGAATCGGGGATTGATGGTGTCTCTGTGTTTGTTTCCCTCCTGACTTCCGACTTCTCCAGAGGGAGGATGGCCGGGGCGTCGGAGGCCGGCGTGCCAGAGCATGCACGCTGGGTGGGACTCTGGGGCGGTCGAGGGGGGCTAGGGCTCCCAGCTTCGCGCTTCGCGCTCCGCGAAGCGCGAATAACTTCGCGCTCTCGCGCCGCTCCCCCAAAGGGAGAATAGGAGGACGAGGAGGAGGGGGAGAAGGAACGAGGACGGCGAAGCGCGAAGCGCGAATAACTTCGCGCCCTCCTGGGAGCCCTTGGAGAAGTCGGGTGACTTGCCCCCTGCTCACCGCAGCGCAGCTCGGCGGCGTAGACAGCTTAGATTTGACCCCGCGCTCTAGTTTGCTGCTCGCTGTAGATTAGTAAGGGCCGCGCCCCGGACATGCCGACCCGCCGCCTGCGCCTTCGCTTGCGGCCACGACCAAAAAGAGAATTCGGGTGACCCAAAAGGGGGTCCAGCAGAAATCGGCGGTGGACAAACCTCCCTTTAGTAAACCTCCCTTTAGAGAAAACGGCCTGGGACCGAAACCGGCGGACCTGGACCCGCAAAAATGACGGTCGCGGCGCCCTCTCGCGAACCGGAAACGGCCGATTCCTTAATCGACGTGTCAGGGTAGGAGGTCTGTCCACACCCGATGAGAAGGGGGTGGTGCAACAGATTCGGGGCAAATTGTATTGCAAGCGTACTGCGCCAGAGAATCGTACTGCATTGTATTGCAAGCACTGTGTTACACGCGAAACTCCAGCAATACATTCGCGCCCTGGAATTTCCTGCACGCCCCAAATGTACTGGACCCCCACAAATCGATTGCACCAAAGCTACTGCACCACCCCCTTGTCGCCGGACTCCCTCTTGGGTCAACCCGAGAGAAGGAAAAGGCCTTCGTCGCAGGCGGCGTGGCTGCTCAGGAGCCCTCACGCCTTCCGAGAGGTTTTTCGTTCTGTCTTCGGGCAGGAGGCTGAAAAAACTCCGGAAGTCGACAAGCCTTCGGAGCCTTCCGAGACGGCCCGCCCCTCCCCTCTGCCCCCGCCTGGGCGGCAGGAGAGCCCGAAATCGAATCGATCCGTCGGCTCGGCGATCGAAAGGGACCGGATCGGCGGAGAGCTGCAGCCGAGTCGGGGAAAGCCGAATCGGCGGAAATGAAGGGGCCCTGGGACACACAAATAACAAGACATAAATAAAAGGAGTCACCATATCTTCTCATACTTCTGGGCCTTTGTGTTCCCACCCCACTTCCCATATTTTGCGAAATGTTCATGGGAATCGACGATTCATTGTGTCTGTGTGTTGTCTCCCCTCCTGATAGTACGCGTCCAGCAAGCGATCGGAACCCGAATCGGCATCCCAAAAGGTTTCCCAGCCTCGGGGAGAAGCTGCCCCGCAGCCGCGCCTCGCACGAAAGCGCTCCGCGGGTGCCCGCGTCGTCCCGATCGTCCGCCCGAGGCCCGAGCCATGGCCCGAGACCCGAGTGACCCCTCGCCAGGGTGAGCTGTGGTGGTGAGCGGCCTCCCTTCCTCCTCCTCCTCCTCCTCTTCCTCCTCCTCCTCCTCCTCTTCCTCCTCCTCCTCCTCCTTCTCCTCCTCCTTCCCTTCTCCTCCTCCTCCTTCCCCCCTCCCCCCTCCCCATCCTCCTCCTCCCCCTCCCCCTCCCCCTCCCCCCTCCTCCTCCTCCTCCTCCTCCTCCTCCTCCTCCTTCTCCTCCTCCTCCTCCTCCTCCTCCTCCTCCTCCTCCTCCTCCTCCTCCTCCGTCGAACCGAATCGGAATCGGAGGCCATCGGAATCGCACCGAAGCGCATCGGAGGAGCGGAACTGAGCCCAGCCCTCTGCCAAACCCGGGCGGCGCCGCAAAGAGGGACTGTGGCGAGGGAGGAGGAGGAGGAGGAGAAGGAGGAGGAGGAGGAGAAGGAGAAGGAGGAAGAGGAGGAGGAGGAGGAAGAGGAGGAAGAGGAGGAGGAGGAGGGGGGAGGAGGAGGAGGAGGAGGAGAGGAGGAGGAGAGGAGGAGGAGGAGAGGAGGAGGAGGAGGAGGAGATGGGGAGGGGGAGGGGGAGGAGATGAGGAGGAGGGAGGAGGAGTAGGAGTAGGTAGGAGTAGGAGTAGGAGTAGGAGTAGGAGGAGAGGAGGAGGAGGAGGAGGGGAGGAGGAGGGAGGAGGAGGAGAGGAGGAGAAGGGGGAGGAGGAGGAGGAGGAGGAGGAGGAGGAGGAGAAGGAGGAGGAGGAGGAGGAGGAGGAGGAGGGCCTGGAGCACGCGCACCCGCGCGCCAGGCTGCAGTCCCGCCGCCGCTGCGGCGCCCTCCGCGCGGCTGCCGCGCGGCCGCGCCAGCATCGCGCGCGCGCGGGCGCCTCCGCGGCGCCCTGGGGGCTCTCCCGGGGGGCCTCGGGCCCGAGCCGCGGCGGGGGGGGCCTCTCGATGGCTCTCCGAGCGCGTGTCGGCCCCGGCGTGTGCGAGTCCACACTGGGGCGTTCGAGACGGCGCAGCCGAAGCGGTGCGGGGCGGACTGGGCAAACACTCGCTCGGCCGACACGTGTCCTGAGTCCTCGGGCCCCCTCCTCTTGCGCTAAACCTCGTCCGTCCCGTCAGCGCCGCGATCCGCGCCGAATCCGTGCCGATTCCGTGTCGAGCGCGTCGAGACCGTGTCGCATCCGTGTCGGATCCGTGTCGAACCCACGTCGACTTCGCGTCGAATCCCACGTCGGAGGGCAAGAGAGGACTGCAACTTCCAGGGCACGAGAGGCCCACCGCAGACGAAGAAGAATGCCTCCTCTGGAGGCCTGCCATGTCTGGGCCGCCCGACCTCCCCAGACATCAGAGTCTTAAGTCGGGCCTGTCCCTCTACAGGAGGAATGTCAAACATAGTAAAACAAAATAGTTTCGGACGATGATTTAGGCATTGATTGGCCATTGTGGGGTATGTTCTGACTAGTTTCAATGTCTCGTCCAAAATCCCCTTGTAGGAGGAAAGGCCCGACTTCACCCGAGTCGCTGTTTGACGGTCCCGAGTCCAAACGAGAGCCCCGAGAGGCCAAACAAGAAAAAACAAAAAAACATCCGTCTCGATCTTGTCGAGGCGCCCGATGCCTGGGTCGCGCGCACCACGCCCCGCAGTGCGCGGCGCGCGCACATCTGCACGCCCCCGCGCCGCCCGCTTGGAGCGGGGCGGCCTCTCTGGCCCAGGCCGCGACGAGCGAAGCGTAGTAGGCTTCCTCCTCCTCCTCCTCCTCCTCCTCCTTCCCCCCTCCTCCTCCTCCTTTTCCTCCGCCTCCTCATCCTCCGCCTCCTCCTCCTCCTCCTCCTCCTCCTCCTCCTCCTCCTCCTTCCCCCCCTCCTCCTCCTCCTCCTCCTCCTCCTCCTCCTCCTCCTCCTCCTCCTCCTCCTCCTCCTCTCCTCCTCCTCCTCCTCCCCCCCTCCTCCTCCTCCTCCTCCTCCTCCTCCTCCTCCTCCTCCTCCTCCTCCTCCTCCTCCTCCTCCTCCTCCTCCTCCTCCTCCTAGCGATGCTGCGCGATCGCCCGAGCAGATGGGCTCGAGGGATCGCGCCGCATCGCGAACGCATCGCGAATGCATTGCCGATGCATCGCGGATGCATTGCCGTTGCATCGCCGATGCATCGGAAGCGCATCGGTGACGTCCGTGACGTCGAATAAAAAACACTGCAGACAAAGGATTCGGAGTGGTTCACCGTAAGAGAAAACCGAGGCGTAAACGCCCGCTTCCCTCAAGACCCCTCTTGCTCACGGAAATCCAGCCTTGGTCTCATCGAGCTGCCAATCCTGCCTCCGAGCCTCCTAGCTGTCTCCGAGCTGCCCCCGTCTCACCGAGCCTCTGGCCCGAACAGCTCCTATCGACGGTGGACAAACCTACCTTTAGTAGACCTCCCCTTAGTGAAAACGGCCTGGGACCGAAACCGACGGACCTGGACCCGCAAAAATGACAGCCGTGACGCGCTCTCGCGAACCGAAAACGGCCAATTCCTTAATCCACGTGTCAGGGTAGGAGGTCTGTCCACCCCCGATCCAGCCACCGAACCCCCGCACGTCACTTCCTCGTCTTCAACGTGAGCCCCCGCGCCACCCGACGGCTCGGGGGGCCGGGAGCGTCGGCAGCTCCGAGGCACGCGGGGGCCCCTCTCCTCCTCCCACTCGGCAAGAGAAACATGGCATGATGCGACTCTCGGGCGTTGGTAGAACTGGGTTTAAAGGAAGCTGGTTTAGTGATCTGTACCAGGGGCGCCCCCCCGTCCCATTTCCACTAACCGGAACTGCCGCCACCCGAAAAAACACCAGCTATGGCAAACCTGGTTTAGTGATTCTGGCGAATTCGAAGGCTCCAGGGCCCTTCCACTAACCACGTCCCCTTACCCAGGGTCCTGGCCATACCCGAGACTCCAGGGAAAGAGAGCACACAGGCATCATCACATCAAACAACCATGCAAGCAAACAAGGTTGGACCCCCAATTGGCGCCTGTGCACGAGGACGCTGACCCCTACAACCCAGGTATGGTTGTGGGATGCGACGAAGGCCACTAGACATCAGAGGAGTCAAACAAATCAAAGAACACTGCAAAACTATGGGTTTGGACCTCCGCGTGGATTTCTTGAACTGGCGTTTGGCGCCCCAGGTTGCGCCTCCGGCGCTGCTCTGGGCGCGCTCCGCGAACCGGGGAAGGGGGGACCAACGCAGATCCAGGGAACCAATCCGCGCGGACCTCCGACCAGTTGCCGACATTCCCCTTACCATTCTTTGCACTGGCGTAGGGGTTCTGACATCCGCTACGCAAGTAACTGGACGGGTCCGCCGAGGCTTTCCCACGTAGCCTTAGGCTGGGCGTGTCACTCTGGAGGATGCATATTCCAAATAAAGAAAAAAGAGTATGGGGACAAGTGTCTAATATTTGTTGGCCATCTTTGCCTACTTTTCGACGACGACTCTCTTAACATTCGTCCTCCAAAAATCCCCTCTGTGGGAGGACAACCCCGACCGAAACGCAGCCGCCCCGCGGGCGCTGCAGATGGGAGCGTGCACTGCTCCAGCTCTGCTTGCTCGGCGCACCGCCGAGCCCCCCATGTGCGCGTCGCGCGGCCAGGGCCCAGGCGCTGAAACGAGGACCTCCCTGGCCTCGGGAGGAGGAGGGGGAGGGGAAGGAGTAGGGGGAGGAGGGGGAGGAGGAGGGGGAGGGGGAGGAGGAGGGGGAAGGGAAGAGGGGGAGGAGCAAGAGGAGCAGGAGGAGGAGGAGGGGGAGGGGGGAGGAGGAGGAGGAGGAGGAGGAGGGGGAGGGGGAGGAGGAGGAGGAGGGGGAGGAGGGGGAGGAGGAGGAGGAGGAGGAGGAGGAGGAGGCGGAGGCGGAGGAGGAGGAGGAGGAGGAGATGGAAACGCCCGCCCCGCACCGCCTCGTGGGCGCTCGCGGGCGCCCCCGAGCGGTGGGTGGGTCTGCCGGGGGTGCGCCACGCTGCCGCCGGCACCGCCTCGTGGGCTCCCGACGGCGCCCCGTGCGCCGGGCGGGGCCTCCGAGGCTGCGCTGCGCTGGTGCCGCTGCCCACTCTGAAGGAGCCCACGAACACACAAATAGATAGACACAAATACAAAGACGCCCCATATTTCCCCATATTTTCTGGATTTCTGTTTTCCCCCCAACTCCCCATATCATTATCCCAAAAGTTCTTGGGAATCGACGACTCATTGTGTCTGTGTGCTTTTTCCCCTCCTGAGAGGTTGCGCTGCGTTGATGCCGCTGCCCGCTTCCGGGTCGGGCGACAGGGGGGGGATAGCAGAGGGGGGTTTGAGAATCAGCTCGCGTATCTGATTTTCCCAGCGCCTCCTGGCGCCAGAGGCGGCCATGCATCGAGGAATGGGCCCGTCGGTGGGGCCGAAACCTGCGCACGGGGTTGAAGTGCAAGGGCACAGATGCCCTGATCCGTTGGTAGAGGGAAGGAGGGAAAGATGGATATATTTTCCTCCTGCGCGGTCAAAGGTCTGATCGATCTGTCCCAATACCTGAGCCCAAACGGCCAGGCGCAGGAGAGGTGAGGATAAAGAGTATATATGAGGGTATTACACGGGTTCTATTCACACCCCCCGTCCCGAATCCCGCCCGTCAGGGTAGGACTCGGGAACAGAGGAAGAGATCCCGTCACCCTTTTACTCCACAAATCCTCAATTATGTCAGGCAGCTGAGCACAAGATCTGTATAGCTTCAGCTGCGTCCCAATCGCGATAGCGCTCACGATTAGGCAAGGTAAGGTAAGAAGGAACACCCAGGGTCCCTGTTTCTTCGCCAAGCACTCTTTGGAGCCCCAAAACGCTTCGGCACTCGAGGGCGGAGAAGAATGAGACACGGGCGGGCGGAGAAAGAGGATCTGAGCAATTTAAAGCAACATCAAAAGCTGCCGCGCCTGAGCGGGGCAGGTGTTAGCACCGGCTCTCATTCGAGAGCTGGGCCAAACATAAGATGTGTACTATGAAGTCGCGTTAAGAAACGCGTCTAAATGTTAATTATCAAAGCAAATGTCTGACCAGACGCAGAGTCGTGTTGATAAACACGAAAAGTTGCATGAATACATTCTGCGTGTCGTTACTCCCCTCGGCGTTGCTCCTTGGGAGGCTGCCTTGGGTTCCACAAGGATAGGCGTGACCACTTTTCTTGGATCGCGAAGTGGCCTAAAATGATTTATCAGCCACCGCTCGAGGCGAACTTGTGTAATGATGAAGTTCTAGCCTGTCGAGCGGCGGGCCTGGCGGCCGACTACACTACGCGTTACCCCATCTGGTAGAACCTGTGGTCCCACATCCTGTGGCCATCATACGAGACGTACTCGGGATCCAGTGGCGGAACCAATCATTGTACTGGATGTCGCGTACGCATACGAACTCGTCGTTGTTGTCCGTGATGTACATCCAGCAGTTGATGTAGTAGCTCCAGCATCTGGGACCCCATTGGCTGTCCTCTAGGTTGTCGCGCCACCGCGTAGCGTAGTCCTCCGGCGCGCGCGCCCTCTTGGCGCGAGGAGGTGTCGCTGGTCTGCGGCTGTCGTCACTGTCCTGCCGCTGCGCGGCAGCGCCGCGCTGCCCAGCGGGCGTGTAGTCCTGCGCGCCAGAGGCGCTGGACCCTACAGCGTTGCCAGGAGCAAATCGCGGCGGCGGCGGCGGGTGCCGCGGCTGGCATGGCTCCGTGGCATCATCAGAATGTGGGGAGTGTATATCAGGTTCGATCGGATCGGTTCTCATCCCTGAATCAACCCCCCTCTGATCAGTGGAACCCAAGGCGGGCTCGATGGGGGCAAGCACGGCAAGCTTGCGCTGCGTGACTTTCTCACGAGTGCCATCCCCACGGG